GGGGGGTTAGAATCCCACATGTAGGCTCCAAACTTCACTACTTGAGCTAGCTCTGTGGTTGATTTAAGTCCAAGGTCCATTTTCATTAAGAATACCTATCATTTTTCTTTCATGTATCTAAGCTAGATTTGTTCTTTTGATTGAACGGAAACTTATTGGTTGACTTATTTTATTCCTTCATGATATTTCAAGTGTTTTGTTAAGCAGCTCCTGGGTGTAAGAGTGTTCCAAATTTTTTTGCTTGTGTTTAATTGGACAAATAATCGTACATGCCATGAAGAACCATGACAACAATATTTTGATGTTTATTTACTGAAGCTCTCTTGCCGATGTTTTAGAATTTACACAGATTTTTGTATTAGAGAATGACCTTTATTTTTAACTTTTCAACAGGATGATGGCGCACAAGTTTGTGCAGCAGTCAGTAGAGTCAGATTCCTACCTAAAAAAGCAAAAGTCAAAGAAATCTTGGTGGTCTTTTGGCTGGTTAATACTGGATCTTTATACCCCCTTGATTTCTGTACTGTGAAATGCTTTTATATTCTTTGTTTTTTCTTCTATGGAGTCTTATGTGGTTGACCAACTTTCTCAGGACCAGCCAATCAGTTGAAGAAGGAAGTGAGCAAGCAGGGTTTACTGAGGAAGACTGGGAGAGGTTAAATAATATAATTGGGTATAAAGAAGGTGAAGAAGAACCACTGTTGGCAACTCATGACCGGAGAGATGTGCCACATACCACCTTGGAGGTTCACATGAAGCACAATGCCTCAAAGCTTAGTGATACTCACAACTGCCTTGCTGATTTGTCATGTGATAACCTTGATTGTTATATAAAGCTTTATTCAGAAGCAAAGGTTTTTGACGTAAAACTAGGATCATATCAATTATGGTCTCCAAATGGCCTTCTCGCTGAGGTGAGAATCTTTACATTCTAAGTTAGAAAGTTTTTGAAATTTGGGATATACTTTTTCTTTTTTATTTAAATATTCCTTTGTATAGGGTGAAAAGTCGACAGCTGAAAGCTTTCAATATTATGGAGAATATTTTCTATTCTCTTTTCTTTTTCATTTTTTTTGGTGTGTGTGTGAGAGAGAGAGAGAGAGAGAGAGAGAGAGAGATTAAGTTAGACAGCCTCATTTATGGTAATATTTTCTGTTTAGAGCGCTACTGTCAATGATTCCTTGGTTGCTGCATTCTGCTACAAGCCTTTCGATTCCAACATTGACTGGAGATTAGCAGCTAAAGCTTCTCCCTGCTATGTGACTGTAAGCTGAAGTTTTATTTTAGCTCACCATTTTGCAACAGTTTACCGTTTTAACTGATCAAAATTTTTTCCTTAGTATTTGAAGGATTCCATTGACCAAATTATCAACTTTTTTGAAAGTAATGCTGCTGTAAGTCAGACCATAGCTCTGGAAACAGCTGCTGCAGTACAGGTCAGCTTTAGCTCCTTATTTTCTTCACCAACGTAGTTTCAAAGCTCAATTTTGACATTACTTTTCCTTTTCCATCTGTTTTGTTCCGTGTGCATTGAATTGGTGTTTAGATCACAGCTTATTTCATGGTCATAAAACTTTTTCTTCTTAGAGAAGTGAGTTGATTGAGCATTAAAAAAAAACCTGACTAAATTTCCTTGTGCACTCCACTTCATTGCTTGATCTTGTTGTTCCTGGCAATGAATGGGGATGAACCAACAAGAAGTTTGTCCTTGATTGTTAGCCTTCTTCTTTCATCAAACATTATCAATGAAGGTGTGCTAGGGCATAACGGCATTTTGGAACTGATTCCAATGAGAAGCTCGAAAAGTTGACCATGACATTTTCTTGTTCTATTTTCCCCTGAAATTGAAAGACATGGTTGTTGTAACCAAAAATTAAATTTTAAGATAAAAGAGAAAAGGAAGAAATTTCGTGAATGAATTGCTTGGCAAGTTCCTCGAGCCCATGGAGTTCCTTGTTGTACATAAGATTGGGTGTCTTTTGTAGAGAACAATATATTTTTGTGGGTTTCTGCCTTTTTGGTATATTTCTAGCATATAGGCACTTTTGTTTTGGCCCAATAATTAATGAAATTTTAATTACTTGATCAGAAAAATAATCATATACCTTTAGATTAACTATAATTATTAAGAGAGAGATCGAAACTACCAAATTAATAATATCTTTAATCGTTTTTTTTGGACAATGGTAACATTTTATAAAAGAAAACGGCACAAAGTTTGTGCTGGTAGAAAAGTGACAAAATACATATCCCAAAAACAGTAAAGAATCCCCCTACTACAAAAACTTACAAGGATATCTTTAATCTGTTGATAACATGTTATAGTTTTATTGGTAGAATAAAGTATAATATTAGCACCCAAGGGTGTGGCCTAACAATTGAAGTGAGATGCAAACTATGCGAGACCAGGGTTCAAATCCCAGCAAAGACAACAACCTAGGTAATTCCTTCACATTTGCCGTTGCTAGGCAGAGTTAGCGATTACATGTGTCCTAGAAGATAGGAGGTACTCGGTTGAATAGTCAGGTGCGCACGAGCTAGTCTGGACACCACCATTATCAGAAAAAAGTTGAGGATAATATTGTATTGAGAAAGGTAAAAGAGAGGCTTAGAAACTTTGAGGTATTGAAAAGAATTGAAATTCCACGGGGGAATTGAACAACAATTTGAAACAACCCAGAAAGGAAGGGGAACATTTTGGGATAGGGCGACTATTGCCTTTAAGACGCTTATTTCACCTTTTAATATCAACTCTTGCTGTTACTACTAGTTTAATCGCTCTTTGCCACTCAACCTAGTAATATGGATATTAATGTCTCAAAAATGTTGAATTAATGAATTTATGCAAGAGATTCTTGGTTTATGTTTGTATTCGCAGTTTTCATTTGAAACGTGTTGGTATATGATGTGTATTTGTCCTGTTGTCAGATGACAATTGATGAAGTCAAACGAACTGCACAGCAACAAGTAAACAGAGCTCTGAAGGATCAGTCCAGGTTAGATACTTTTTTTTGTATGTCAAGCTGGTATCCTGATGTTGTTGAGATTACTGGTCCCTCACAGTGATTTGAGCAGTTTAAAAGAAAAATTGCTACATGTAATTGTCCAGTAAAAATTTCTGCAAATGTGATCCTGATGTAAAGAATAGGTGGTTTTGGGGAGGGATGGAGTGGTGGACAGGGATCAAGACTGACGATTCAGTGGTCTAGGCATGTCTCCCTATAAGTTTGTCAGGTGTATCTATCTTTTGCTGTTTAATGTTGCAGCATTATCAACCTTCGAACCCAAACAAATCTAGTGGTAGATATCAACATGTTGCATTCTTTTGTACCATCCAGATAATTTTAATATTGATATCCGCTTTTTACCAGGTTCTTCCTGGATTTGAATATTGCGGCTCCAAAAATTACCATTCCTACAGATTTCTGTCCAGATAACACTCACTCAACTAAGCTGCTTCTTGACTTGGGAAATTTGGTGATTTCTACAAAGGTAAATCTAAGGATCGTCTGAATCTATAAGACCAGATATCCCTCAGTTGGCTAAAGTGCCGTGTTTCTGTAATATGGGCAGGATGATTCTGAATTTGTCGCACCTGAGGAGATGAATATGTACGTTCAGTTTGATATGGTCCTCAGTGATGTTTCTGCTTTCCTGGTTGATGGTGATTACTATTGGAGTCAAACCCCTACAAATGGAGTTGGTCCATCTAGGTCTAACTTTGTTGCTTGGTTGCCTGTTATTGACAAGTGTGCAGTGGTTCTAAAGCTTCAACAGGTGATTGCACATTTCTTCTGAACATGATCTTACATTCACATAATTTATCTTAGTATGTTTTCACAGTTTCAACTTTGGGTGCAACACCTCTCATATTCCAATTTTTCCAGATTCGGCTAGAGAATCCCGCCTTTCCTTCGACGAGACTTGCAGTGCGTCTTCCGTCTTTAGGATTCCATTTTTCTCCTGCTCGGTATCATCGGTTGATGCAAGTTGCAAAGATATTTGAAGGAGAGGAAAGAAATGATTCAGATGTTTATCGTCCTTGGACTCAATCTGATTTTGAAGGGTGGTTGGGTCTTCTTACCTGGAAGGTTACTTTTAGATTAACCTATCCAAGTTTTGTTGCATATTGATATGTGCTTTAGTAGTTGTACATATCTGATAATTATTATTTTTTCACTGTAGGGTGTTGGTGGTAGGGAGGCTGTATGGCAGCGGAGATACCTATGTATAGTTGGAACCTTTCTTTATATACTGGAAAATCCTGGCTCTAGATCTTACAAGCAGTATACCAGGTAAAAACTATGTTCCATGTCTTGTGGCATCACCTAAACAATCGAGCCCCGACAAAACACCGCAAAAGCAACTACATTAGGCTGGTTGACATCGTTAATTCTCTTTAGTTTTGGGAGATGGCCAACTGTATGGCCGAGTGGGAGATTCCATGGGTAGTAGGAAGACTTTAATACAATAAGGTTCTGGGAGGAAGGAGTGGAGAGTATAAGTGTCTAGGGAAATGGAGGAATTTTCGGAGTTTTATCAACAATAACTCTTATTGATTTACCCTAAATAGGAGCAAGTGTTACATGGATCAGAGCATGAGTCTATTTCAAAATAAGGGCTGGATAAGCTTTTGGTATCTAGTATCTACTGCATGGGATGAGATGATGCTGGATGCATTGCTAGTTCCAATGTTTAGATTTGTTTCTGACTATGTGCCTATCTTGCTAGATAGAGATTGTCATAGTTTGATTTGGCACAATCTTTAATAAAGAAGAGAAGACTTGTTAGATATGTGGTCTTAAATAAGCTATAACATTTGTGTGGTTGAAAAACTTTTGAAACTTGTGGTATGAAATTTGCCATAACATTTGTGTGTGCTTCTTATTAAGGAAATATTGAAAGGTGCCAACGTTTTGAAATGGACTAATAAGAAAATAGTGCCAATCTTCTTAAAACGGAGGGAGTTGTAGAAGAAAAAGTTGCATACTCTTTTCAGGTTTGAGAATCGAGGTGGATATAGAATTTAAATTCCAGGGGTTTAATTTTTAAGGTTCTTAATATTGAACCTAGTATATCTTTAAAGTTATGATTTCATATCTACTATTATTGCAATTTTAGTGAATTTTTACACTTATCGTCGAAAGTACTGGGTTCAGATGAACTCGGTATCCTAACACTAGATCCGCCCCTGTTCGAGAACATGTGACTCAAGGTGCCTGATTTCGGAGATAGAGTCAAGAAGTGGTGGAACAGGTGATGTCACCAGGTACACCATCCTTTTGGTATGCTATCGATTTTGGAGTAACAACATACCCAGTGTAGTCCTATAAGTAGGATCTGGGAAGTTAGTATGTACACATACCTTGCCCCTACCTTGTGAAGGTAGAAAGACTATTTCTGATAGGTCCTCGACTCAAGAGAAGTATGGAAATAGAAGAAAACACGTAATAAGATAACCGGATCAAAAGAAACACATGTAGTATTAGAAATCTAAGAATAGAAAATAAGAGAATACACTAGTACAACATGTATAGAAAGGCAATACAGATACAAGAAAGAAGCATGCTCAACTACTTACCAACTCACTACCCTTATCCTCGACCTCCATACCCTCCTGTCAAGAGTCAATGTCCTTGGCGAGCTGAAGATGTGCCATGTCCTGCCTGATCACCTTCCCCCAATACTTTTTCGGCCTACTCCTACCTCTCCTTGGCCCTACCATTACCAACCACTCACACCTCCTGACCGGGACATCTGCTTATCTCCTTTTCACATACCCGAACCATCTCAGCTTCGCTTCCCACATCTTGTCTACCCCGGGGGCTACTCCCACCTTGTCCAGAATATTTTGGAGTACGAATATTAATTGTATAAAAATGAGGTTAGATGGAGACCAAAGTTTCGGGGGATAATGTTCAACCAAATAAGAGTCGGGAGGAGGAGTGGTTAGAAAGGGTTATAGGAGAACAAGAGGTGAGGTAGTGGTGAGTTGTGCCCGAGATAAGATCCTGGGACCAAATGGGTTCACATTGGCCTTTGTCCAGCTGTGCTAAAGCAGATTTAAGGGGACTTGATGCAAACCGTTATGACATTTCTAGAAACGGGTGAGTTCAAAGAAGCCTCAACACATCATATTTTTTATGTTGAAAGATGAGGGTTATAAGCACAAGGATTACATGCATAGTAGTTTGGTGGGTATCATATATGAGATAATTCCTAAGGCGCTTTCTAACATACTTAAAAAGCACTAAATAAAGCAATACCCATTTTCTGGAATGCGTTTGATCAAGTAGACAGAGTTTGCATGCAACTTTGGTGGCGAATGAAGTGATTGATCCTAGAAGGAAGAAGGGAGAGCTAGGGATTAGGAATTTTTGGATGCAAATTGGACCTTGAAAAGGTCTATGTTGATATGCATTAGGAACTCCTGGACTACATCATAATGATGACATATTTGGGACAAGAGGAGGCGGATAAAATTTTGCATTTCTATTGTTAGATTCTAAGTCTTAGTGAATGAAAGACCTTCTGGTGATAGGGGGATCCGCTATCTGCGATGCTATTCTTTTTGGGGATGAAACCGCTGAAATAAATTGATGGAGGATTATTAAGAGACCTTTTTACCTCGTTGAGGAACAAAGTTTCATTAGGGTTATCCAGTTCATGTTTGTGGATGACAACTTTGTATTCAGCGATGCAGGTGTGCCCCAGCTAAATATTTAAGACAAACCCTTATTTAAGCTCTCGAAATTTGGGTGGATGAGTATGCTTTATGTAGAGATTTGTAGCAGAATTGGAAAGGGGGTATATGACTAGAAACGTTACATTGCCATATGATTGTGGATTGTGGAGGAACATTATGAAAGGGTGAGAAGACTTTAGCCTATTTATCGTTTAGGGCGAGGAATGGTAGTAGTATAAGTTTGACACAGGTGGTGTGGTGACATACATTAAGTATTGCTTTCCCTAATTTCTTTAGAGTGTCGTGCCAAAGATGATGGTACAACAGAGCCGAAAGATACATAACGGGGAAGTTTATCAGAATTTGAGGTTTAGGAAAAACTTTTAAGATTGGAAAATGAGCGAGTTTAACATCTATTGGAGCTGCTTCACAAGCACATTACACTGAATGATACACCACTTAATGGAGATGAGTGAGGTTTTAGGAGGAATGGCCTATATATAATCAAATCTTACTAATATAGATTGTTGGGGAGATCCTGCACCAAATGATTCGTTTATCGGGGTGTCGAAAAAGGTTTGTTTCTTCACGACATTGTTTTGTGTGCAAACATTTGAGTGAAAATGTAGATCATCTCGTGTTGCATTTAAACGACGCAGTTGTGGTGGGTGGTCCTACATTGGTAAAAAGTACAGTGGGTGATGCAGAGCACCGTCAAAGAAGCGCTTACATAGCTGCTCTTACATATGTGGGCATGTAGAAGAAGGAGAGAAGACCTAGGGCATGAGATGTTATGGGTTGTATGGATAGATAGAAATAAGGGACTGTTTGAAGGGTTAGAAAATGTCTTTGTAATTCTATAGCATAGCCTTTTATCTTTAGTTCTCATTTGGTGTACTTATGAGCTCCCAGCTTGTATAGATGATTGGGTATTTTTGTACATAGCCATATTTTTAGTGGGTTCTCTGCTGTTTGGTATACTGCTAGTATACGGGGTTTTCCCGTCATTAATGGGTTGTTTACCTTATTAAAAATAACATCAGGTCGTCAACTTGTCAAAATAAAAAGAAAACAAACAATTCTTTACCATTGTTTTATTATGGAAGATCAGACTTTACATTATCATATTTTAGTAGCCCTTTTGTGATATGAGTCATTTGTGAAGGATATAAAATTTATGAGATGAACGAAAAAATCATGGTTTACTTGGAAATCTATTTAAGAGTTCAATATAAAAATATTTTTGGAATAATAAGTAGAGGTAACAACTTGGTGGTTTGGTCAAATTTGGGCAGGTCAAAATGGGTCAAATCAATAAACTGGTGATGACTCGACCTGCCCAAAGTTTGCTTGGGTCAAATCAATTATTGCCCTTTTCTGTTGCACTCTTTTACCGAACATCAAGGGTTATCAGTTTGTGACAGGGGGGAGGGCTTTTCCTTGTATAACGTTGCAATTCTTATACGTGGCCTTGTCACTTACTAGATGAAGTCTATTTGACTATAGTTACAGCTACTCTTAAATGTTACCGGATGTGATTCCCTCTTTTAAAAGTGTGTTAGTTAAAATTTAAAAATAAATCACAAGGCAAACTCTAAAATAGTTTTCACTTCTTCATTTCTAGTACCATAACCATATCCCCATATGCTCGATTGAAATTTGTTTGTAGATCTACGCATATGTCTATTGAGATCTCCCCAATAACATTGTTGGTAATTTGGGACTCCTTGTACCGAGGTATCCGTATCCTCTCGGAATTTGGTTTTACCCTTTTTATGACATCAGAAGCTTATGTTTTTTGCATTCAGCCTCATAATTTTATCGAAATACTGTTTATTAACCCCAGAAAAGGATAAAAACATATTGAAGTTGCTGTTTTCCCCGCGAATTGTAGTCTAGTGGTTTGGTACGCTGTCATAGCATGGAGCAAAAATCAAAATTGAAGTAAGATTGACAGAGAGTTGGGATGTTGTATGTCCTATTAACCATGCTCGTGAATGGAGTTCCTCTTTTTACGTCGATATGGCGGGAGGGAGAATAACCCAAATGTATTATTGGATCATGAGCTCTCTTATCCTACTTCATGGCTTCATATTTTTTTTTTTTTTTGAGAAAGGTAACAGTTATATTAATCTTCAGCACAGAGGTTGTGTTGGACCGGTAGCTAAATACAGATCCCAAAAAATTAAAAATGTACAAAAATCTATCCTACTTCATGCCTTCATGACTTTGGAAAGGCAGATAGATATAGTGCTAGAACATATAATTAGCTAAATGCATGTGAATTTATGTTATGCCTCGAAGATGAGAGAAGTTAGATAAATGATATACTATTACAATGTGGTTTGGTTTATAGAATCAAGAATCTTATCTCAGCAACTAATTTGAACGTACAGCATGTTTTCATCTCCATTGGTACTTTATTTGAAAAAAAGGAAAAAAAGAGAGATAATGTCTAGATTTCTGGTGGTCCTCTGTGTGAAGCCGATCTAGGTTTTCTGACTGTAATTCCTATTGCTCACCTGGCTTATCCATCTTTTATCTGTGCTTTGTATCCTTAACTTCATTGTTGTACTGCCTTATTGCAGTTTACGAGGAAAACAACTATATCAAGTTCCTCCAAATGATGTTGGCGACGAACAACATGTGTTGGCTGTCTATAGTGCTGAAAGAGCCACCAACGTACTTTTCAAAATCTTTGGCTTCTTTTGGTTGTGCAGATTCTGTTTTCTGGCATTCCTTACCTTATCATTGCTTGTAGGTTGTGGAAGATGCAAATGCTCTAATATTACGTTGTGACTCTGAAGATTTAAAGAAGACATGGCAGAGCCACTTGCTCGGGGCCATCTATCGTGCATCGGTAGACCTTTGTGCTATTTCTCTTTATGCTGATTTGGAATCTTGCTTATTGACATGCCAATAGCTAGAGTCATAAGATTGTGGTTGGGTGGTCTTTGTCAGATAACATCCCTTTGTAGGTGCCTATGACAAAATATGAATTGATGAATAGAAACTGCTGTTAATAGTTTAAATTAAGGTGAAAATGTGGTGAGTGAAGCACCCGAGGGTGTGGCCCAGTGGTCAATGAAGTGAGTTGAGAGGTCTCAGGTTCAAATCCCAGCGGAGACAAATACACTAGGGGTGATTTCTTTCATCTGTCCAAGCCTTGGTGGATAGAGTTACCTGGTACTTGTTGCTGGTGGAAGGTAGCAGGTATCCCCACGGTTATTATAAAAAAGAATGTGGTGAGCGGTCAGCAGAATTTGATCTTGGAGACTACAGTGTGATAAACCTGTTGCCTTCAAGACAAAAAGATTTTTTCCTAAAAACTTGCAGGAGTATCTCTCTCTCTCTCTCTTTCTAATTCCTTTTCTCTGGACAATGTTAATGGATCGAGATCCTTACTATAAGTTTTTTTTTGATAAGGTAAATTGTATTAATCAAAAGGGAGAGAAACTCCCGTATACACGAAGTATACCAAAGACGTAGAGAATTTACATCAGAACATGATTTTCTACAAAAGACGCCCAATCTTCTATACAAGTAGGGGCTAAATGAGTGCACCAAAAAGCGATCAAAGATAAAAGACTATTCTTAAGATGTGAAAAAGGAGACTCAATCTCCTCAAAAGCTCTCCTATTTCTCTCCCCCCATACTACCCACACGAGAGCTAACGGGGCGAACTTCCACGCCTTTTGCTTTCTTCTTCTACGAAAACCGCCCCAGCTATGTAACATTTCCTTTACAGTGCTTGGTATCACCCATTGAACACCAAAAAGATTCAGGATTGCCCTCCACAAAGCAGAGGACACAGGGCAATGCAACATAAGGTGATCAACTTCTTCCCCTGAGCTTTTACACATGTAGCACCAACTAACAAGTGTAATTCCCCTCTTTCGGAGATTTTCAGCAGTCAAGATCACTCCCCTTGCCGCTAGCCATGCAAAAAAGCACACCTTCGTGGGCGCCCTAGGAATCCAGATCGAGGAGTATGGAAAAGTGGTCTCCTCTCTCACCAACATACTCTGGTAAAAGGACTTTACGGTGAACAAACCATCGCCACGCAAGCCCCATCTCCAAGAGTCGCAGGATGGTTGAAGCCTGTCTTGCCCGTATAGCAGTGCCAACAAAACTTGGAGCTTTGCAATCTCCCAATCTTGCATGTTCCTCCTGAATGAGAGGTCCCATACTACCCCCTTCATGTTCCTTGCGAATCTGTTGGACCATCAGTTTCTTCTGGTTTGAAACTCTGAAGACGTGGGGGAAGGAGACCCTCAGAGTATCCTCTCCACACCACCTATGATTTCAAAAGCTGATTCTCCTTCCATCTCCCACCCTGTAAGTGATGTAAGTGATGTTGCCACTGAATGCTTCCCAATTCTTCATGATGCTCCTCCACATGCCACACCCGAAAGGTGTTGTGATCGCCTTGGTCCTCCAATCCCCTCCAGTTGAATCGTACTTTTCTACTATGACCTCCCTCCATAGAGCATGCTCTTCTACCCCGAATCTCCACAACCACTTTCCCATTAAAGCTCTGTTAAATACCTTAAGATCTTTCACTCCAAGTCCACCCCACTTCTTTGGGGAAGTGACTGTCTGCCAATTCACCAGATGAAACTTTCTAGTTCCATCCGCCGCATCCCACAGAAAGTTCCTTTGAAGTCGCTCCAGTTTTTCTGTGATGCTCACCGGTGCTTGCAACAGTGATAAGTAATAGGTGGGCATACTCGATAACGTGCTTTTGATAAGCACTTCCTTACCTCTTTTTGACAAATACCGTTTCTGCCACCCTGTTAATCTTTTTTCAACCCGTTCGATCACTGGATTCCAAACCGTAGTATCCTTATATGAAGCGCCCAAAGGGAGGTCCAGGTAAGTAGTGGGAAGGGAGCCCACCTTGCATCTGAGAACACCAGACAAGGCATCAATATTAGTAACCTCACCTACCGGGAAAATCTCACACTTGCCGATGTTGATTTTGAGTCCTGATACTAACTGAAACCACTGCAGGACCTGCTTCAGGTAGGTCAACTGATCCATATCGGCATCACAGAAAACCAGTGTGTCATCCGCAAAAAGCAAATGTGAGACTCTTTGGGCACTGTGTAAATGGGGATCAATTAGTAAGTAAATGGGGATCAATTAGAAGCATTGGGAAACTAGGTTTCTGGTGTGGATTAAGAGCTAGGACAAGATGTCTTAGTTTAACTTCATCATAACTTCACTTAGATTTGGCAGTTTAAGTCTTCGGATTTCAGGAGATCTTAAGGACTGTCTTTATTGGTTGCTTTCGGGATAGTACTTTTATCCCCTTTTTGAGGGGTGGGGTGTGGGTGTTTTGTACGGGGAAAACAGGAGTATATATTCATCAAGTCCTTGCATGTTGTTGCTTTCCAATGAGAAAGTTCTCAAAAGTGAGGTTTCATGCAGGGATCAGCTCCAATTACTGGTTTATCTGAATCATCATCTGAGTCTGAAGACTATGAAGCTGATCATGCAGACAATCATGATTTAATGGATCTGTCAAAAATGGAGAGTGTGTATTTGACCGGTATTCTTGATGAGTTAAAGATGTGCTTCAATTATAGTCATGAGGTGAGTATTGGTTAAAACTATCAAGGACACTTTTTCTTGAAAAGCAGTGACTCCACTGACATGTATAATATGCTTTCCACTTTGTCTAGCATGATCAAAGTTTTACTAAGGCACTTCTAGCTGAGGAGAGGGGCTTATTTGAATTTCGAGCAACGGGTGGTCGGGTAAGATTACTGCAGGTTTTGCTATGGGTCTTATTTTAGCTTGATCTCTAATCTTTTGCTTTAATGCTTTAAATTTATGTCTTACACAGGTTGAGTTTTCAATTAGAGGCAATGATATTTTTATAGGGACTCTCCTGAAAGCTCTGGAGGTAGAAGATTTGGTGTGCCAGACAGGGATATCTGGCTCTTGTTATCTAGCACGATCCTTCATCAGAAATGTTGGTGCACCCCCCCTTTTAAATGATGTCGAAAGCCAGAGCAATGAATTTAGTCAATATGATGGAGAAGAGAAGTTTTATGAGGCATCTGAAAATTTAAATGACCTGACTGATAGTCCGTATTCATCTGGAAATTTTTTGTCATCAGAAAAGACCATGTCAAAGGCTCCTAGTTTTAATCGTTTTGCTGGTCTTCTGCCTATTGATGTTCATGATAATGGAACTAATTCTGTAAAACTGACTGATACATTAGATAGTTTCGTGAAGGCTCAAGTGGTTATTTATGACCAGAAGTCACCTCGCTATACTAGCATTGATACAAAGGTCAGCTGGTGTTTCTTATCTGGCTAAATCTGTTTACTTAGTTCTGCACTTAGGATTTCTAACTTAATTGCTTATTGGTTATTACAGGTAGCTGTCACACTTGCTACCTTGTCTTTTTTCTGTCGTAGGCCAACAATACTGGCAGTGATGGAATTTGTAAATGCCATTAATGTGGGGGAGGAAAGCTGTGAATCTTTCAGTGACACTTCTTCATCAGCCATTACACAACATGATAGTTCCAAGGAAAATGTGGTTGATTCGCAGTTGTTTGAGACAGCTGATCTGCCTGCAGTGAAAGGTTTGCTTGGGAAGGGGAAGTCTAGAATTATTTTCGGTCTGACACTGAACATGGCTCGTGCCCAGATCTTGCTGATGAAAGAGGGTGGATCTAAGCTCGCTACCTTGTCTCAGGATAATTTTCTTACTGATATCAAGGTCTGTTGTTTCCATCAACTTTGATTTTTTCCGTTG